TCATCAGGCTCCGGCACCCCATCTTCCTCCTGCGACCCCGAAACTGGGTTGACCACGAGAGCCGGACGTACCTCATCTTTATCTGCCTGGCTGACCTCAGCATCCCGACTATAATAGGACTTCAGCAGATTGACATGACACAGTTGTGTCAATCTTCTCCGTCCTGGGGTTGCAATGACATAGTTCAAGTCAGATATTTTTTCAGCGACTGTGTAAGGACCGGTGTACTTGGCTTGAAATGGAGAACCCACAATCGGCATGAGAGCGAGAACCTGATCTCCAGGACTGAACTCATGGCGTTCGGTACGGCGATCATACACCTTTTTCATTCTGCTCTGTGACATCAGTAACTTTTCCCTTGCCATCCCACCTGCTACCCACAACCGATGTCTAAACCCATTTACATAGTCAATCAAATTCTTAGGTGGTTCAGTGTCCACCCAACCATCTTTCAACACTGCCAAGGGCCCCCGCACTGTATGTGCAAAAACCAGCTCATTGGGACTAAACCCCGTACTCTCCTGCACTGCCTCTCTAGCCGCCAACATTAACCATGGAAGACCTTCCTCCCAGTCTTTATCCAGCTCGGTGCAATACGCCCGCAGGAGTGCTTTCAGAGTCTGGTGGAACCTCTCCAGAGCACCCTGGCTCTGTGCATGGTACGCAGATTACTGGTTATGCTGCACACGTAACATTTTTAACACCTGTTCAAACATGTGTGACGAAAAATTGGACCCTTGGTCACTCTGGATTACTTTCGGTATACCAAACACCGAAATAAACTGAGTTAAAGCTTTCATCACTGCTTTAGTTGTTATCGACCTCAGTGCATAAGCAGCCGGATACCGAGTGCTCTGACACATTACCGTCAAGAGATACTTACATCCAGACTTAGAACACGGCAATGGGCCCACACAATCCACAATGAGATACTCAAAAGGTTCATTTACAGCAGGAATCGGCTGCAGTGGAGCAGGCTTAATGGACTGGTTCGGCTTCCCCGTTAACTGGCACACATGACAGGTTTTAACATATGCTGCGACATCTCTTTTTACTCGCGGCCAAAAAAAATGTTTCAAGATGTTCAGATAAGTTTTTTTAACTCCAAAGTGCCCACTCTCATCATGAGCCACTTTTAGGACCAGCGAACGAAATTTAGCCGGCACCACTAACTGAAACACTGGATCTCCCACAAAGTCATTACCAAGAGTAACCCATTTCCTAAATAACACTCCGTTCCGCACAAAGTAGCCACTACCTGCACTACTTATCACTGTAGCAGAAACAACACGATCAAACATCTCTTTCAGGGAGGGATCACTTTGCTGCTCCTGCAACAACTCACTCAATGACACGGACAGAGGAAAATCAGAAACAAACGGAGCCACCAACTCATCACCACCTCTCTCCTCAGACGATGCCTCCACATCAGACTTAGCCATTGCTCGTGTGACCACACAGGCAGAAACATCCTCAAATGAGTCATTTACCTTCTGATCCAAAACAGGACTAGGAGTAACCACAGGTGATGGTGCAGTGTCAGCCCAAACCCGACTACCAGTCAGGCCATTGCCCAAAATAAAGTGAATCCCCTCCATGGGCAACGCCGGTCGCACCCCTACGCATACTTCACCCTGCACCAGCTCACAATCTAGGACTATTCTGTGTAAGGGAGTAGGCAAAACAGTTAACCCCATCCCACGACTCAATATTCGGTCACCAGTGTCACTGGCCTCCGACAGCGGTAATACCGAACCCACTATGAACGAATCATAGGCCCCTGTATCTCTTAGAATTTTCACTGGGATTTTAGTGTCATCTCCAACCAGTGACACAAAACCACTTCTAATAAAAGGACCATATGCATCCAAAACGTCAGGTGCACAATCCGAAGTCAACAATTCAGAGATTTCATCAGTATCCACAGGCGCAGCCGCTGCAGCAGGCTTAACCTGGTGTTTGCTAAACTTTTTCCTGGACTGCAACACCGGACACTCAGCTTTCCAATGTCCTCTGTCATGACAATAGTTGCAACTTGTATCGGGATCAGCATTCCCTCGGAACATACTATCTGCTTTAAACATTCCAACTTTGCCAGAATGCATCCTGTCACCTGAAGCCGCACCCACACTCTTGCCTCTCCATCCAAGATCATCACACGCCGCTGTGCGCTCTCTAAACCTGCCCTTATGGAGTAATACATACTCATCTGCTGACTCAGCCGCCTCCGCAGCAGTAGTGAACTTTCTCTCTGTAACGTATGTTGCAATTTGCACTGGAAGCGTATTTCTAAGCTGTTCTAAAATAACCAAATCACACAAATCATCAAACGTGCCAATTTCCAGGGCCGTCAACCACCTTTTAAAAAGGTTAGTCAAATCCCTAGCAAACTCCATGTATGTCTGGCCATTCCTTCTCTCCCATGACCTAAACCGCTGACGATATGCCTCTGGCACCAGCTCATAAGCCTTAAGCACGGCCGATTTTATCTTAGCATAGTTAGAACTATCTTCCACACTCAAGGACGAATAAGCTTCCTGAGCTTTCCCTGTAAGAGCGCACTGAAGCATTAGCGCACAATCTGCATCAGGCCACTCCCTCGCCTTAGCCACACGTTCAAACATCACAAAAAAAACATCTGGGTCTCTCTCATTAAACTGCGGTAACAATCGTAAATTACTAATATCAAAGGGACGCACCCCAGCAGGCCGATCTTCCCTGGACCACCTGCGCTCTTTACCCAAAGACAGACGATATTCCTCCAGATCTAACCTGGACTTCTCGGACTGCTGACGAATCCTCTCTACCTCAATTTGTTTTTTAATTTCCAATTCGTGTTTAAGTTTCTCATGATCCATTTGAATCAACAGTAGCTCCTTCTGTTGCTCAAAAGTGAGGCCCTGTGCCTCTACAGGTCTAATAGTGGAAACTAGAGAGGGTTCCTCTAATTCTACCGTTATAATTCCCCTTTCAACTAATTCAGATTTCACCGTCATTTTAATATTTTCCTTAAGACGTTTATCTCCAGCCACCACTATAGAATAATGCTCAGCTATTTTAAGCAACTGCTCTCTTGTGCATTCCTCCAAAGCCTCCTCAGACGGAGCCGCAACGAACGTTTCACAGTTAACCATTTTCGCTACCAATTACAATCAGCCAAAATCCCAACAACTTACTATTCCAACAGGCCCAGCTAGACAGTAGCGTTTCCCTGTGAGCACTGAGAGGACTAATCCTCAATACGGTTTGGAGTTTCCCCACTACCTAAAGATCACCCAACTAACTAAGCTCCCCTCTAGTCTTCATGTGGTTACTTGTGGTGGGTATTTATGCACTGAAGACCGCTGGACCAGGAGAGCGACTAGCAAGCTAGCAACCCCCCCAGAGCCACGGACATGCTCCCAAGCAAAGCTTCACCCACGTTCTCCACAACACTAACCCAGATTTGCTCAACGAGCCCCAAAAGGGAATCGTCGCTACAGCCTACCAGAGAAAACTCCGAACCGCTTTTTAAACAATAGCACACAAGGACCCACACCTGTCATCTGACACCTGTAACAACGTTTGGACTAAAATTCTCCTTCCCCAGCCTGAATAATGACAAAACAAAAAAACAAAAACAACAACAAAAACCACACAAAAAAACTAAATAATTCCACAACAACTTAATTCCAACCAAACCTAACGCTTACCCTGCTAAATCAGCAACATAACACTGCGCCCTCTCCTTCAAACATCCCCACTCAAACCATGACCACCAAAAAAAAACGGGGAAAAACAAAATAATTTAACGTACCTGAGCTATCCTTCTCAAAATCAAGCCGGATTTGATAGTCAAACAAAGCAACATGCGCAACTAACTATCAACTGTTCAAGCACTCCACAAACCTATTTCAAACAAATTTACACATCGATCACGCTACTCAAACAGTTCAAAAACGGACGAGCCCCCATTTTGTCATGACCAGGCTCAAAAGGCCATGACAAAAACTGGGAAAGGACTCAGCGATCGATTTAGCAAGGTTTATTGTAACGTGACATAATCAGAACAATACCTGAATGATAAGATGGGTTAGTCAGCAACCTCAGTTGTGTAAGTGTGGATGAGTGATCGTGGTGTAAAGTGTTGTTGAAGTGTTAAAATAAAACAAAACAAACAAATCCAGAACAACAGGCGACTGCTGGTAACGAGGATCAGAGAGACCCCGACGATCTTGGAGGTGGAGCTTTTATCTCCTGTGGAGCACTAGGACCAGGTGTTCACAATCGGGAAGGACCTCTGCAATCAGCTCCTCAAAACAGAAAAACACATCACCCTTGCAGTACTGACAAACATAAACAGTCCAGCCACACAGGGGCGTCACAAACTTAACCTTTAAAAAGTGTATGTGCGAACTGACTGTATACTTGACTTTGTTAATTGCAATTAAATTAAAATGTATTATAGTTTAAATTTATATTAAATACAATTAGCTGAACTTTAGAGTACTTTTGAGCACTTAAGTAAATCTTTATAATTTTATAATTGCTTCTATTGTCTTTGAAATATGGATACAGTTTTGTAAAAAGTATTTTTAATATCATTTCCATTCAAACTTGTATGCCATGTATTTTTTTAAAATATGTTTGTAATGACAGAATTGCAATTTAGAACATTTAAAATATATTAACTTTAATAAAAGTCATGTACGCGTATACGTGAGTGGCCTTTAATTTAATATCATATTATTTGCAAGTAGGCTACGGTTTTTGAAAAATATACTTTTAAGTTTTGATTTACACTATAAGTGCACATTCATTACAATTAAGAACACGTTTTTCACAAAGGTACAGCAACAAATGAAATAAATCCTGTTGGAAAGATCATAAGAAATAATGCCATAAGCCATGGTCGACAGGCCACAGTGCAGAACAACAGAGACGAGCCTGAAGACACACGATAAGAGTGTTTGCCCTGAACACTATGGTGACGAGAGAGCGAGAGCGAGGCGGCCGGTCAGATGTTCAGTTCAGACCTCAGAGAGCTTTCTGTGAGGCGTATCAGAGACTGGAGCTCTGTGAAGATGTACAGGTGACGTGCCTTACCTTCCTGAAGGCCTTTACGGGGATCTTTTTATCCTGTATTTACCATTTAATATGGAACGCTCCATGTTTGCTTGTTTCTCTGCTCGCTTTCTTTCTGTTTGTCTTTTCTCTTTTCACATATTATGTCTCGTCTGGTATCTGCAGGTGTTTGATCAAAGATTTCGAGACGCGTCCATCAGTGATGCATCTGCTGGAGCATCCGTTCATTAAACAGGCCCATGGGAAAGACACGTCTCTGAGGAATCAGCTGTCAGTCCTCATCCGCGAGCAACAAGACGTGGGCAGCAGGACCAGGACCACCAGGTACAGTGTTAGGTGACCTCTCAGCTCTTTTCTGAAACCAGATCGATATGCTCATGAGCTGCAGAGAAACAGATTGCGGCACGTTTCAAAAAAAGCCAGAGCGTTAAACATCACCACTATAGTTTTATAATAGCCTGCCAGTCATAGATTGTCATTTTGAAACAGTCTGAGGTGTTTTTTGATTCCTCTCAGGGTCAGAGCAAAGATCTGGCAGGCCTTGACCATTGAGCTTGTCTTGCATTCATCACTGTCTTCTGTAGATGCAGAGCTGTCCTGGTGGATTTATCACGTGTAAATATGAGACAGTGACAGTCTAGAAATATACGAATCAGAGTTTTTGATATGTCATCTATCATCTGCGTCTCTTTCCAGCAGAGGGCAGTGTCATCTGTGGAGGAACGAAACTCCTCAGGTTGATCCTGAGAGCCAGGAGCACTCGATTCAGCATCACATTGACAGCTTCTTAAAGGAGAACTCCGGCGCAAAATGAACCTTTGGTTTAATTACACATTGTTACCTAGTCAACCGTTATCTGAGATTTGTCTTCATGATTATCGAATGTAAATAGTTTTATCTCTAAAAACAGTTTAGCCTATAAAGCTAGTATAACGCTAGTATATTGGGCATAGTGTAATGACAAATAAAAATCGCTTGTTAATACCACTAACAAGGCTGAAAATAGCCCCACACTAGCACGGTAGCATAATGAGGGTCCCTACCTTCAAACCGAAGCATTGAGAACGTTGTCAGTGTACAGACAGTTTAATAAGAAGATATTTTAAACATACAGTCAACTTCGCGTATACAGGCAGAAGCCATCTTTGAAATACAGTCTCTACCAGTCGATCTACGAACGCCGATCCAAGCCTGCTGTTCGCGCTCACCTTATCACAACTTATAGCTCGTTCACATCTCACCAGCGCACTTGGATCGGCGTTCGTAGATCGACTGGTAAAGGCTGTATTTCAAAGATGGCTTCTGCCTGTATACGCGAAGTTGACTGTATGTTTAAAATATCTTCTTATTAAACTGTCTGGACACTGACAAAGTTCTCAATGCTCCGGTTTGAAGGTAGTGACCCTCATTATGCTACCGTGTTAGTGTGGGTCTATTTTCAGCCTTGTTAGTGGTATTGACAAGCGATTTTTATTTGTCATTACACTATGCCCAATATACTAGCGTTATACTAGCTTTATAGGCTAAACTGTTTTTAGAGATAAAACTATTTACATTCGATAATCATGAAAACAAATCTCAGATAACGGTTGACTAGGTAACAATGTGTAATTAGACCAAAGGTTCATTTTGCGCCGGAGTTCTCCTTTAAGGGCCCTTTCACACCTACCTTGTTTGGTCCGGACTTTCGGACTTTTCAGTTTGGTCCGAATCAAAATTACAGGTGTGAAACCTCCCCCGGACCACGGTCCGGACCAAACAGATGAAATTTGGTCCGACGAAAAGAGGTAGTCTCGGTCCGGATCAAACTGAACAAAGGTTTGGTTCGTTTCTAGTGTGAAAGCATTTCTGTATGGTTCGGACTTTCAGACCTTTTACAGGAAGTTCCGGTGGTTCGTGCATAGCAGAAAAAACAGAAAGTGGCAGGAAAAATGAGCCGTGGTAGCACATGGGGAGAGGAGGAGACGAGGTTTTTAGTTGAAGTATGGTCTGATGACATCAGAAGAAGTCAACTTGCAGTCTTCTCCTCCATTCCTGCCGGCGACGATAAAATGTTCGCACGACGAGGACGTTCATTTGGCGAATTTGAACTAGCCTTGTGTATAGTTGGTGCTGCAGGTAATTATGCCATAAAAATAACAATATAGTTGCAACGATATGCGTCTGTTCATTCATGTTGTCAAAGTTACCCACCGAACTGACAACACGCTGACGTCAGATGCACGTCCATTGACAAAACCAATCAATGTCAGGATGCAGCCCACATAGATGATGACGTCAGGACGCACGTATGTCACGTAAAGTTCTTTAGTGCGCTCGCAAAATTGCAGTGTGAAACCAAACCAAAACTTTCTGAAAGTATAAAATGTATCAAAACGTGAACTTTGGTTCGGACCTTGGTGCGGACTTTCAGGTGTGAAAACGCCCTAAGTCAAACGGATATCTCTGATGCTGTTGTATATGATACAGGAAAACATAATGAAAGCGTTTCCACTGGCTTCTTATACAAAATACACATTTAGACCCCTCAAAACCTGCAGATCTTGTCGAGGGGAGTGTAGGCCTACAAAACTACCTATAGTATTTGAGTTATATTAGCTCACATTCGCCTTTAGATTTGTTTAAAACTAAAGTGTCCATTGCTGAATATCAAATATAAGTAACAGTGTATAATGTTTCTGTGTACTGTATTCAAAAGCTTTCACTTTCACTTTCACTATTTGTTGTTTATTTGCTTTGCCAAATCAAAAAGTGATTGCATTGCAACCGTTCAAAAGTTAATGTTTTTGAAGGAAATCTCTCATGTTCACCAAGGCAGCATTTATTTGATCAAAAATACAGTAAACACAGTAATATTGTGATATATTATAATTTAAATGAATTGTTTTCTATTTGAATCTGTTTTAAAATATAATTTATTTGTCTGATCAAAGCTGAATTTTCAGCATCATTACTCCGGTCTTCAATGTCTTTACTGTCACTTTTGATCAACTGAATGCATCCTTGCTAAATAAAACTATTAATTACAGACAAAACTTTTGTACGCTCAGAAAAAAAGATAAATTGGACCAACTTAAAATTTGACACTCTAATTTGTTACAGACAAATTTAGTTTTTCTCAAATTATATTTATTTATTTATTAGGTTTGGTTCAGACTTAATAATAATCAAAAATATTCCTTTTCCCAAATAAAAGAACATTCATACAAAGTAAAAATATTTTAAAGAGCATATACTATACTTAATCAATATATTTTCTAATAGACATATGCCAAAATTGTAATTATTGGTGCTCAATAATATAATATAATATAATATAATAATATTATAATATTATTATAATATAATATAATATAATATAATATAATATAATATAATATAATTATATTATATTATTGAGCAACAATAATTACAATTTTGGCATATGTCTATTAGAAAATATATTGATTAAGTACTTTTTTAAGTACCTAGTATATATATAATATAATATAATATAATATAATATAATATAATATAATATAATATAATATAATATAATATAATATAATATAATATAATATAATAATATAATACAATTATATTATATTATTGAGCAACAATAATTACAATTTTGGCATATGTCTATTAGAAAATATATTGATTAAGTACTTTTTTAAGTACCATACTTTTTTTGTTGTTGCTTTTTACAACTTAGTTTCACCATAAACAAAAACTAAAACTAATTAAAACTAAGTAGAATTTTCGCTTATAAAACAAAAAAATATTTTATTAATTTAGTTTATAATTTTTAGTCATTTAAGTTCACTTAACTTTGAAATAACTTAACATTTATCTTGATGTCTTTTTAAAATATGCATCATCATTTCTCTTATGTTCTAAAAAAAGCTAGCTGCACATCAACTGTTTCTTTAAACACCATTTTTTATGGTGAGTGTTCTTCTAACTGTACCTAACTGTACAAAACAGGTTTAAACCGGAAACCACAATTTTATATAAGGCCGGTATAAAAATGCACTTTAAATAAATGACACCCTTTTTTCAGTTCAATTATGCATTTGGGTTTTTGTTGCTTGGGAGATTTATTAGACAAAGATACATCTGAATCCTATACTAGAGTGTTATATTAGTACTCTTAATCCTCTAACTATCTCTCTGATCAGGGTTAAATGAGGACTCACTGACTCAGGCTAACCCTGATGAACTCAATGCGATAAAGAGGATTTTACAACATTCCTTCATTTCCACAGTACTCTTGTTCTGGAGTGTCTATAAAGACAATTTGGACTTGTTTTGAGAAAGTAGGGGTTAACTTGGTACGGTCTGTGGTCGATAGTGAATAAACAGTCACTGGGTTGCCAGATTGTATCCCCTCGTTCCCCAGGCCGCGTATAATCTGCTAGCCTGATAGTGACAGTGAGAGAGACGTAATGAGATTATGAGCTTGGCTGTGCTCTCTCTGTTTAGTCACTGATGGCAAATATCAGTGAAGTGATTACAGAGCGAGGGAACACTGATACACATACAGAAACAGTGCCACACACACTCAGTCTGCCTGTTTCTCGCACACATAAAGCGCTGTGTATTGTGTCTGTACGCTGTCATGTCCCCGGGGCCCGATGGGTTTTAAGAGCTGTGAAAAGAGCAGCTGCTTCCACATGATCTAAAGGTCAGAAATACAATAGTGGGTCAAACCCTGATGAAGTGCATTCACGACACGCTGTAATAGCCTTTAAACCCCAGAGAATAGACACAGATAGACCCTAATACTGCAGACATTCTTAGTTTTTTGGTGTTTGCTAAGGCAAGCATCACAACTACTGTTCCTAATATTAACGGTTAGGGATTTGAACAAACCTCTAACACTAAGGGCCAGATTTAGTAAACAAGGCAAATTAGCGTTTAATAAATAATGCCGCAAATACCAGTAAATTGACGAGAGCAAACCTTAGTAAACCACCTTGCATGATTAATTTAAATCCCATAAATTTTGCATCTGAAAGGGAAACTCCTACAAATATGCAATAAGGATCCTGAATCCTGAAAAACATGTGTCACATATTCAATATTGATAATAATAAGAAACATTTCTTGAGCAGCAAATCAGCATATTAGAATGATTTCTGAAGGATTATGTTTCGCTGATGCTGAACATTCAGCTTTGCATCACAGGAAAAAAATACATTTTAAAATATATTACAATAGAAAACAGTTATTTTAGAGGGGACCTATTATGCAAAAAAAAAAAACTTTTATATTGTTTTTGAACATAATTTATGCATCCGCAGTATGTATACATTAAAATCTGAAACAGTGTCTCAAAATGA